GTTAGCAGGCTGCTTTTACCCAAACCAATGCTGTTATGCTTCAAGAGGAGATTAAAAGGACATAAACGACATCCCAAACTCCACAGTGAGAACATAGCAAAGCTTACACAAGCTCTGTATTTCGATCTTGCGTGCCCAACATCTCTACTTTGAAAAGCTTTTTCAACAAGTACACCATATATGGTAATTCCTCATGAAAATCTCAAACTCTCACAGTATTTTGGTCCTCTCAAGGACATTTTTCTGACAGGACTCTTAGTTCCATGGTCTGCAAATGACAAAAGCAGTATTTACTCTGACTGTCGGAAGATGACTGCAAGTTGCTTAATTTTTGTAAATGGATTACCGTTTTAAACCACTAGTCTATGCCATAGAAATCTAACAAATATACTTGGCTTTCTAGCAATGATGGCCTTGTTTACCAGAACTTCAGAACTCCAACAGCAATATCTGCATTTTTACTATTAAAATTAAAACGAGCAAAGATTACTACTGAAACATTTCTTTAATTGGGGAAAACAAACAAATAACTCTCACACATAACATCAGCAGAATTATTGGATTAGAAACCCATAGAAAACCATTTGCCAGTACATGGGGTTGGGATCCGGACCTTTCAACTGAAGCTTGCAACAGTAGCCTACATCTTTTGCATACTTGTTCAAAACTGGATTATTATAGGCTATCTTTACTACCATCCAAGATTAATCCCTGTCCCTGGGTAGTTTTCACACTTTTTTGACAATTGTACCTACTGATCAGGTGAGAGAATTCATGCAAACTGTTCAGATATTCAGTGACGAGGGCAATAAGAACAGAAGATAATTTCAAAGAGGGTAACAATAGTATACTCTGCTAGTGAAAAGAGCTTTCCTGTATTTTCAGTGTCATTGGAATTACTTTTCCATTTGTACTATAGTAAAAATGATGATCATCAGCATTTATAAGATGTATCCCCTGCTGTGAATCGGATAGGTTTCAATTTGAAGAGGGTGGGTGGGGGAGGAAATCAAATTATAATGGCATTTCCTATCACAACCCTTATTTGCCTGCATCTAAAAGTGAATATTTAGTGGAGGTTTTTATCTTTGAAGATATGTTCAAAGATGAGACTAGAAAGTTTTACGTAGCAGTGCATATTGTTAATAATGAACTCAAGCAAGAAAAAAGTTTTGCCAAAAATACAAAAGACACTTAAAAAACATGAGATAAAAGCAACTATTTCATCCTAACCGAAATGAAAGTGACAGCAAGAATTTAAAAATCTATGAGGGCTTTTTTGTTTTGAAAATTTAAGATGGATGCTGACCTGCTAAATATTAAAAAAAAAAAAAAAGATAAATGAACTGATAAACAACACATGGATAGAGTGGCATCTTTTTACAGAGTTACAAAGTGGCAGGGTTTTTTTAGCTTGCAGAACTGTTGTATTTACTTTCATATGGTCAGCGCCTGCATTCTACTTGGTTAATAAAGTACAGCAACAAGACTTACGACTTCCATATGCAATCTTAAAAGAAAAATTAAAGTGTAGTGCACAAATAATAAACAGATGTTTTAAGTGTTCAAAGCTATAAAGGATACACATTTCAAAATAAATTGAAGAAGCCACCTGAGGAAAGTGATTATTTAGGGGGAAAAAGCAGTTACTTCTACTAAAAAATGTTAAAGCAATAACCACTTTGTAACTGGTTCTTCAGAGTGAAAAAAATGAAGAGAGTTTAGTTTCCCTTACTATTCAACCTTGGTAGCCATTTAAGTGGCTATCATACTTATCACTGACAAATTAACTAATTTGCCAATGAAAATACAAAGTAATCTTGTAAGTAACTTGGTTATTATTTAACATATTACAAACACAAGTCTTGAGAAAAATAATCTAGAGAGCTCAAATTTTAAATAAGATGGGAGAGTTAGAACAGTCTATGGAGCATAACTGGCAGGATTTTGGTAGCGGGGTGCCGCAGGAGTGACCTGCGTGGCAGGAGGTCGTGAGCTACCTTGTGCTGCTCGTAGCCAGTTCTGAAGCGGTGTAAGCAACTCACCACGTACCAAAACATCGCCTAGCCAGGGGAGCCAGGGCACCTCTGCCTAAACATATTTAAGGAAGAGCAGCAGTCACTAGGGGAAGGGCGCACAGAGCGGACCCATCCCTGAAGGGCTGTTGCCTGCGGAGGAGTCATGCTGCAGTAGAGGAAAACAAGAAAGAAGGAAGGAGCGTCCACACACAATCATCACACACACAATCCCACCCTCTTGTGCCACCCGTTATCTCACCAAAGGGGTTGGGAAACACAGTGTTAACATGCAGTGAAAACAAGGGTACCTGAGACTGGGAAAGGGGAGAGGAGAGGAGTTTGGTTGAAGCTGAGCCTGGAGAAGGCAGGGAAAAAAACATTTTCTTAATTGTTCAGGGTCTTGTTTTGGTTTGTTTTCATCTTCTCAGTACCTGAAACAGTCATCTGAAGTCTTATATTAACTGGCAAAAAATTAAATTCAGTAACAACTCCCTGAGTCAAGATTGTTTGCCTGCAACTCATGTTGCAACTGGTCACCAGGAAGACCACAGTATGTCATTTTAAAGCATGTATTTTAAAAGGAAAATATAATTAGTGTTTGCTTCACAAAAGACTACTACAAAAAATGGTTTGCAACATTGAAGGCTATTAAAATACTAAAAAGCAAAACAAGAACAGGTTAATATCTATGCATATTCAGGTCAATGAAGATGAACAAAGTTATAACCAAACCAGCCAGCAGGCATCACGCTATACTGATCAGGTATTCCTCATTTGATGGCTCAAGAAGCTGCTAACTTTTGTGCAAATACTTCAATTTTAGACTGACCACAGAAATATTCTTTACTGACTGTTTCCACAATTCACAACAGGATTCCTAAAACTTACTTTTAAAAAGAACAACAAAAAAGTGACGTTCTACTGTATTTTTCTTGAACTTTCTGTCCAACTTCAGATCCTGTGAGGATCTGAGGAGGCTATCTACTGAACTGCAGTTGCTTCTAAATCAGGCTTTGGGTGTATACCGTAGCTATGCCATCCTCTGATGTGCTATGCAGAAACAGTAAACCAGACAGTTTTTTGACCAGAACAAAAATTTTTTTACTGTATATTCTTTATGCACACAGCACTGAAACCTGAACATCTAATTTATGCAAAGCATCCCTATTTCTAGACACCACATAAAAATTCCAGAGTACTCAGTGTTCACTACAGATACATAATTTGAAAGTATTTTTATATGAAAATTATACATTTTATACTGTTGGCACAGAATACAGCTCATTTTCCCAGCTAAGAGCTGAATAACTACAGTATGCTTAAAAGCATTTGTTTCCAATGTGCAAAAACAAGGCAATATTGGTTGATGATAGCCTACGACATATTAAACTGCTAGACTCTTTAGATTAATTTAAATGTTCTATTTAAAGCAAAACAAAAACCCCACAGTTTTTGTCCTCACTAGCTCCAGGAAGCACGAAGTGCTGCAGATGAAGCACCATCTCCATTTAGAAGGTTAGCTTTACCTCCTGGATCTGGTATTTGCCTACACTGTTCTGACTTCACACCTGCTCTAACAAACATGCAGTTATATACAAATTTGTGTCCCAAAATTAACTTACAGGTTATAAATACCCTCTCTTACACTAATTAGATTAAATACCACTAAGCAGATCAAGCTGAAACTCACTCCCTCCTCCCCCTCATTCTGCATCCCCCACTTCTTGACTAATCAGTTCTTTCTGATAAAATTTGAAAGTTATCCAATTTTCCCTCTGGAGTCATCTTTAGCATCCCTACCAAAAACACGTGCTAGAAGAATCAGCTAGTCAAAGCACGATTTGCCTTTTTACACACACAACATTGGAATTTCAAAAGCACTCATGCTGACTTCGTGGGATATATACTACTATAGTATCAAGATTCTCATGATCGTCTAACCAACACCATACCTTTGCTCCCTCCCTATGAGGGACCAACTTCAAGGGTAATTAAACAACCTTCCACCCTTTACAGATGTAGGCTAGCTGTCCCACATTTACTGTCTCACAGGTTGGGGTCTCGTGAGTGCCGAGTCCTTTTAATAGCCTCTTGATGCTGGAAGTGGGATTATTTCTTCTCCTTCGCTACCAGCCACGGAAGTTCATTCCCCTCCGTTGTTCACACCCGGGTGCTTGTCAGACCTCCTGTGACCCAAGTTTAACTTACTACACCAGCAAAAACTAGACAGGCTATTTTTCTTCTGAGTTAGTTTTCTGCCAGGTTATTTAGTTGCATCAGCTCATGGAAGTGTCTGACAAGAGCCAAACCAACACAAAGGAGAGCTGCTATACTGGCTCACTGCCTCCTCAAACTGCAGCCCCACTATGTATTTGGAGGCCATCTAATCACAACTGCTGAAGAAGCAGCTGTTATACTTGCTAAACGGAATATCCAAACAAGGCTGTGCAGAAAGTTTGTAACATATGAATATATCTTACTTAGTATTTTTTCCTCATTTTTATGGTACAAAATCCATTTAAAGCATATACAGTAAAGCTTTTAATCTAAGGGGAATGGTGTGGAAAAGAACGAAAAGAAAATACAGTATTTGGCAGACTATAGCTTTTCCCCAGTCCCACTTATCTACTGAGCAAATTCTGCATTAAATTAAAGGTAGTGGTGGTGGGGTATTTGTTGCTCCAAGTTCAAGCTGCTCATTCCCTGTACGCTTAAAGGATAGCCATCTCTTTACTATATTAACACCTTCTAGTTTATATCACATGTTCTTAAAACCACTAATATAGTAAAATTGAATAGGTAACAAAACATCAGATGCAATGACATTTATTTAAAATAATCCCTCAAGAACTGACAAAATAGTAGTTGTAAATAATTGCTTATGTCTAAGGAATATTCAAGTCAGCTGCCTTAAAAAAAAAAAAAAAAAATCTTCATTTTAAAGGAAGAGGGCAAAATTTAACTATTCATTCCATTACTTACCGATCAAGATTTGACCTGTTTTCATTGCTGAACTACCTGGCACCAAGCCATGTACTACAAGCTTCTCTTCACCAATCCCTCTGATGACTTTATCCTTCCTGCCTTGTTTTTCTGCTCTTCTGCTGCTCCATGAAGACTGATGGACAATCCCTACTAAGGCCTCCAGCAGCCTGTGCTGCTCATCTTCTCCAGCACTGTACAGTTTTCTGGGATTTACATAAACATATACATCTTTGTATTTTTGCTGAACAGTGACACCCATTTTCTGAGCGGATTGGTGTTTCAGTATGGAAGTAGGACCAGTGGAGAGCACATTACAGCTTCCACTGCCTTTCTTACCAGAATGCTTTGGTAAAAGATTCTTCTTTTTTAATAGTTTGGTCAATTTCTTCAGTTCATACTTTCTTTCTTTTCGTGATCCCTCTTGAATAACTTCAGCTTCATTTTCACGAAACCTGACATGATTCACTGCTGGCATTTCTGGACAGCTGTTCTGAAGCAGAGTTTCTTCTTCACTTTCACTCAATTCTAAATAAAATAATTCCCCATTTTTCTGCACACCATCCAACCATTCAGGCTCAAGGTCACTGGGAAAGAAAGAAGAATGATCAGTGACAGCTCTGATAAAGAAGACTGCTATGCAAGTGACATCTGATTACTTCAAGTAGGGAGGGGATAGAGAGAGTGCAAGGAAAAAAAAAGGAAAAAAAAAATGTTGCCTCCTGAATATTGAAAGCTCAACTCCTTTAAGCTTGTGATGAGGGTGACAGCTCTTCTCGGACAAATGATGGATATGGCAAAGAAAGACATCCCTCCCAGATATTAAAATTGTTTCTTCAAATGCCTTACAAGAAAACAGCCATTGCAAAAAGCAATATTCCCTTTTCTGAAAACAAACAAAAAAATCCAACCCCAAACCATTTCTTTCACATACAAGTTTTAATTAGTAATTACATTCATGGGCACGATGGGGCTTTCTCTTAGCGAAAAAATGCCATCCCATTTGTCCTCTCCCACTATTTTTTCCCTTATGCATCTCTAAGATGGATTGTACTGCAAGCCCTTTGGAAAGACAAGATTTTAAAAATAATTTTTAAACACTTTAACATTTTAAAATCATCTCAATATAACAAAAAAAAAAAAAACCCACAAGATGAAATCTAGGTAACACTTTTTAAAAGACAAGTTCAAAATAGCAAAATCAAGCTCACATGCAAAAATACACAACAAAAAAGAAAAGAGGCAGCACTGCTATAGAAAAAGTTGTAGCAGCTGGAGTGGATCACTTTAAGACCCTAGCAACAAGCTGCTGCAAAGAAAAGGCAAGGCAACTACAGGATGTATTAACAGGAGTACCATCTGTACAGCACAAAAAATTTTTTGTCCTAATTTGGCAATGGTGATGTGTCAACCATGTCCAGTTTTGGATAGTACATTTTAAGAAAGATGTAGTAACTGGAAGAAGCCCAGAGCACAGAGACAAATAGTAAGTAGTTTATAAACATGTTTTAAAATGAAGGAAGTCATACTTTTTTGGCTGAGAAAAAACCCAAACAAAAAATGACAGCTGAGAAGCAACAGGCCAAATGGTCCACTCCCCCACCCCAAGATGAACCACAGAATATTACTACAGAAGGATGAGGTTCAATAATGGTCAAAGTAGGAGTATCTAGTGGTTTAATATACCAAAGTATTTAAGCTAAATATTAAGAGAGCTTTTTGATCACACACACACAAAAAAAAAAAAAAAGAAAAAAAAAATTAGCATTAGCAGGCAATCTAAGGAACATCTAGGATGTTCTGTATGGAGGATTTTGAGGAGCAGACAAGACCAGTTCATTCTTCCTGACTAGATGACAAACAGGTCTCCCTTTCTATGAATCTGAGACCACACTGATAAAAATCAAGTAAGGAAAAATTAGAATGGAGACTTACATACTAATTAATATCATTAATTGTTTCAAGTTAACATACATTCATACACTTTATACTAGAAGTAGCTAATTTTACTGAATAAAGGATGCAAATTTTGTTTAAAACCAGTATTATATAATGCGAATAGAGCATTAATTTGACTACACAGAGAAATGATACAGCTTCAAAGTTTAGCTGAGCAGAGAACATTATACAAAGACACTGCACCACAGCACCTTTAAGGGCTCAAAGAGAGGATCTGGCTGGACTAAGAATATAGAAAACATTGGCATTACTCTCTTCCTGGAACCCCAGTGACTTACAGAAGTCTATGGATGTTGCAGACAGGAAGAAACATCATGCACTTCCTCTGCATTTATTAATTATTTTGCCCAAGTTGATACTTTTAGAAGAAGAGCCACCACTTGTGATAATTTGGCTATTCCTGATGGTCATGGGCAGGTCAGAGTTTGCATCTTCTACAAAGTCTTACTCAAGATATTGAGTATTTTACTCAAGAAAGCATCAGAATGATAATACCTAAAGGCTATTAGGGCCTGACGGTCCTCTGATCCAACATCTCTCAAAAGGTGGTATGTAAGAATTAACATGACAGAGTTTTTCCTTGGAGTGGTTTTTTAAAAACTACTCCTGCATCCGGATACGTGTAAGCAAAATTGGGAAAAAACAAAATTGATAAAGGAAACATCAGAAATTCACAAAGATTTGGGTTAGCAGAAACTCCTGTGATGTATGATAGCCTTTTTATTTCCTCTTTAAAAGGGATTGTGCTCTGTGGAAAAGCTCCTTCTTGTTTGGGGTACACGTCAAAATTTCAGCTTGGATGTTCATACACTCATGTTCTCCAGCTTCGTTGCCTATTTTCATTAGAACCTACTATATGGACCAAGCATTTACACTGGGTTCACTCAAACAGAAGCACTCCAGAGAGAAGGCTCGTCAAGGAGGAGCACATATGGCAAAGTCACCCTATGCAAATAAGCTGATGAAGACAGAAGACTGAAAAAGTGTCAGAACGGCATGAATTGCTCTCCTTGAAGGCATTTGCACGAGCGTACTGTAAAGGAACCTTCACTTTCTGAACACAGATCCCTACAGACATCTAAAAAAGCAAAGTCTGAAACAAGAAATCTGCACCTAGGATGACAGGTTTTTTCCCTAATGCTGTAGTTTCACAACTGATCTAAACCAACCTAAAAAAATAAATAAAATAATCTCATTTCCAGCTCTCTTCCCTTAAGCCAAAACAAGCACTTACACAATAACCTGAGCTTCTATGTAGGTCTGGAAGCTTCAATCAAGGGATCTAAAAATCTGGAAGACACGCATTCCTCTAAGAGCAGTTTCACTGATCCCACAAAGATATTTCTTCTTTGGGATAAATGTCTGAAAAACTATGCCAATAGAAATTGTGCATGTATGGAAGAAACATATACTAGAAACGAAGGATCTAAGTTCCGATTCTGAAGCAAGAGAAAACTCTTCTCACCCAAGGAAACTCAGAAACAATAAACAGTTAACACCTATGAGCCTTGTTTTAAAGCAATGAACAGATCAAGGGTTAAATATTTTACTGCACTGTATGATTAAATTCCACCCATATCACACTTGCAGAAGTTAAGATCATCATCATCTTTAGTTTTCCCAACCTTCGCCTATGCAACGACAAAGTACCGCTTCAGACTGAGGCATCGATTTGGTATACGCAAAGCTGCCATCCTCTTAAGAGCTACGGCTGCCTAGAGGGGTTCTGATCCATCACAATTAGCGAGAGTGACAGCAAATGTTAAACTCTGTTAAAATAGACAAAACCATAGGAAAAAAAAAAAACGCACACTACTTTCACAGTGGCATATGTAAGCATTCACTTCACTGTCTGTCTGAAAGTAGGCCTTGCACAAAATCATAGGGCTCTGACAAAGCAGCACTCGTATCACCCCTATTTCTACCCTCGCATGAATGTTCCTTGGCATATCTTGGTTTGTCCACGTTAGCTGTAGTATTAAGCAGCAGTTTCAACTGCCAGAATTTTATTCTGGAAGTCAGTAACTTTTAATTCAGAAAACCATTCCCAAGGTTTTTCTTTCTTTAATTTAATCAAATACGGCTGATTATAAAACCACATACAGATCATCTATAGAGGAACAAACGCCATTTTCTTAAAATAGCTAACAGACCTATCTTTGTACCTGTTACTTTGCAAAGCTGTACTCTGTTTCTCCCTCCCTTTTCATTACAAGTCACATCTTAACCTCCTCTTGTTTCTGTACTCAGAAGGCTGGAGTGTTATAGGTCCAATAGAAGAAACTATTTGGACCTAAAATTAAAGCTTCACAGTTCTGTTGATGCAGTGATAGAAAAGATGCATTTCAATTTATCCAACATTATTATACATTGTGTTCTATGTGGAAAACTGTGGAACACAGCTTTATCCCCAAACACATATAAAGAACGCCAGTAAACAGGCATTTTAGATGAAATTGGAAAAGAAAAAACCCAAACACACACGCAGGCATTTTAGATGAAAGAATTGGAAAAGAAAAAACCCAAACACACACAAAAGAAAAAAAAAAAAAAAGAAAAAAGCGCATGGCTTCAGTCAGAAACGCATTACAGTTGAGTTCAGGCTTATAAGCATAGGAACAAAATAAGGTAGGTGTACATCCACCAGCTTTGTCTCCCACTGAGCCAGAGGTATGGGACAACTACAAAACAAATATACTTAAACACATGTCAAACCTCTCCCACTTAAAGCTTCTTTTTCTTCTTCACTGCATTATATAATAAAATAACATGCCAAATAAAATGCCATTGATTAGACCTTGAAATACACATTTGAACTGTCAAGCAGAGTTGCTTTAATGCACGGAACAGACGGAGAGTAAATTTTTATACGAATTTAAAAAAAAAAAATAAGAAAACCCCAGTGGTTGCATGTGTGACTTTAAAATATGTATTGGTATTACAGAGTTGTCTTCTCACCTACCATTTCCCAAGAGACAGGCCACTAAAATAGGAAGACTGCATCTCCAATGCATTTATAACACATGAGCCAGGTCCCT